TGAACTTTCAGTTAACTGTTGGCCAGTGAAAAGGGTGCCTGTCTGCTCCCTCGCTCCTCCCAGCGTTTAGAGAGTGGATTGGGAGACAGTCTTCGGACTGCCTGGTACTGCCTGGACTGTCTTTTCCCTGCCTTCCCTGAACCTTTCTTGACCTAAGAAAAAAAGAAACAAAATATCCCCCTCTAGTGGTCGAAGGCAGAATAGCAGCTTCCCATTAGTTTCTATGGACGGAAAAGAGCAGATACGGATCAAATGGTTTTCAATGCATTCCTATGGGAAATGCAGATTTGACCTGAGAACTTTTTGACTTGAGAACCACCTTCCAATACGGATTAAATTCTCAAGTCAAGACCCCACTGTAGGCCAAATCAACAGGTACAGCTTTTAGTTCAAGCCTGACATGCTGAAATTTCCCCCCTCTTTACACGTTAAAGATACAGAAACCCCATTTTCTTTACCCCCTACATGTAAAGCCTACTTCATCACAGCTGGGTCTTGAGCAGTTACTTCAAGAAGAAGAAAGGATGGGGAGGGGAAATGCATGAAACCCATCTTAAAATGACAATACAACTAAGCTGCTTTGGGCTGCTAAATGAATGGGAACAGCAGGATAGGATCCTCCATGTCACTTAACAAAGGACATGGCTGTCCTTCAAGGGAGAGAATCATGGTCGATAGGAGGAACAGCCCAGGTATTAGATTCCAGAAAAATCTCCCATTAGAAGCAGGCACTTCGTTCTGCCTCATGGCTTGGGCAGCCCTACCCAGAACCATCCCCCATCTCACCATGTCATATTCCAGAGCGTTAGAAATGGTGTGCCTGCGTGGCTCCTTCGGGAGACGTAGGCTCCGGCGTCGCCCAGCTTGGCACAGGGAACTGTTGATGCTACGGGAACGTGTGATGCTTTTCCCATCCGATTCTCCTGGAGAAAGGAGCAGAAAGGAATAAAGACAGTTAGACCATTATTTCCGTTCCTTATAGTCTAGTACAAACTACGTTTGCATCATTTTGTTAAAAATAAAAAAGACATCTACATAACACCTACATTTGTGACTGATCTTACCAAGGCAAGGTGACCAGAGGACACTGTCTCTTTCATAGTTGTGTGAAGGCGGAAGTTTCAGCAGGCGTAGTTTGCCTTCTAAGTAACTTTTAAAGCATTTTTAATTGACTGATTTGATTTATATACCACCGCCCCATTAGTGAATACATACAACTCCGGGTGGTATACAGGATAAAACACATACCAAAAAAAAAACCAACAACAACAACACAGAGACACACTCAGTTCCACCCCTGTATATTAACACAATCAATAGAGATATATACCAACTAGAACACAGTAAAAAAAGAACAAAAATGTTACATTCTGGGATACGTTCTTAAAGGCTGCTTTGTCTAGTTCTGTCTTAACTAATTTCCAAAATATCAGGAGGAAGGGAGCCTGGTGCAGCTCAGTTGGAGGCTTGATCCACAAAACGGGGGCCACCACCAATACAAGAGTTTTTTTTTAAATTGTCAGTAGGATCAGGCTCAGAGCTAACAGTGGGGAAAATTCTTACTATGTGCTAGGCTGCTGGTAAAAACAGAGTAGGAACTGTATATTTTGACACCATATAGAACAATCTTTTTCATGGAATTCCCTCCACTTCATCCTGTCTCATTTTCACTGCTTTAATTAAAAAAAAAACTAATTACAAAGACTCATTGATTAACTGAGCCAGAAGCTGGCTCTGGTCCAATGGGATTGATTGCATTTACCGACTCCCCAGAGACAGAAATAATGAGAGGCAAAGCATACATCCTAAAAGTCAATGAAGCTGGTTGGATAGCTCAATGGTTAGGTATCTGGCTGTAAAACTAAAGACTGGAAGTTGGATTCCCCCACAGGGTTTCTTGAGAGAAAAGCCAGCCTGTGTAGCCTTGGGCAAACTGCACAGTCCCAGGATGCTCCCAAGTAGGGAATGAATACCGTCTACCTAGAAAACCTTGGAAAGGCTCGCCCTAAATTAGAATCAAGCTGGCAGCATGCAATGAACGAAAGAGCCCTCAATTCCATACCCTCCCTTCATCTCTCTTTTAGCACTCCTGCTCATGTTGTTCTTCTCGCTGTTGACACAGAGCAAAGAAGGCCATGTGGATCTCCTGCACCATGCCTTGTTGTGACAACAGTATCTCGTCCCGTAGCAGAGAGAAGAACCGCACCTGAGGAAATCCCTTGTTTACCTTTGTACTCAGTCGCCCAGGGCAGGCTGGGACTTGGGAGACCTCAGGTAAATTTCCATTCTGTCATGACATTCACTCATTGATTTTGGCCCCTCCAATCTGCCTCACAGGGATGGCGAGAAAGAGAGCTAAGTGGGCTACCTTGAGGAAAGCTAGGTTAGAAAAATAACAAAAATAACTCTGTATTGCTCCACTACAGTCCTCATCACCCCTCATCCTTGGCCATCGATCCCAAGTTGATGAAGG